ACAATGCTGCTCAAACTACAGAGGCTGGACTTAAAAACTCTCTGTCATCCACCGTATTGACCAGACCTTGCACCAACTGACTAGCACTTCTTCCAGGCTTTGGACCACTTCTTGCAAGGAATAATATTCAATTCTCAATAGGCTGTGGAAAACACTTTTTGTGATTTCATTGCCACTCACTCTCCAGGCCTCTTCACTGCTGGCAGAAACAAGCTACCGTTAAGATGTCAAAACTGTGTTGACAGTTTATGTGCATACTTTAATTGTACTGCTTCTTGTTTGAGATGTAATAAACTAAACTTTTGATTTGAAATCAAACATTTCATATTTAATGACCTCAATAAATAGAAGAAATACCTGGCTTCAAAATTCACTCTCCAATCTGAAGAAAAAATAAAGGCAGGATGTGTACTCTGTGTGAAATTCCAAATAGTTTGGCATTGGACAGTTGGCTAACATGTCATGGATAAATATCTGGTACTGAGACAGAGGGTGGTTTTATTCTATCATAGGAGGTATAGTCCTGTTATTCCAAGAAAGAAGTTCAGAAGAGGTACAATAATGTATTGTACTCAAAGTCTTCATCTGTTGCCAGGTCCATGTTACTATTTAGGAAAAAGGAGTTGAGGAAGGGAAGAAAAACAGATAATGCATCTAAGTATTTCCTATGTATTCATTACTTAACTAGTTCAGAGTATTTTTAACAATTCAGGAATCAATTTGCAATATCCAATGTTTAAAGTTTGCTAGGTAACAGTTATGATTATTATTTTGAAACCCTAACTACCTCTAGTAAATTACCACGGAATTTTAGATTTTTCCTCTCAAAATTGTGGGGGGAATAAAAATCTCCCATATCATCTTGAAAGAAGCAACGGCAAATGGAAAAAGAGCTTGATGTTAGATGTCTCAATGTTATCAATGCATTTTTTTTTTTTTTTGAGACAGAGTCTCACTCTGTTGCCCTGGGTAGAGTAAGTGCCGTGGCGTTAGCCTAGCTCACAGCAACCTCACACTCCTGGGCTCAAGCGATCCTCCTGCCTCAGCCTCCCGAGTAGCTGGGACTACAGGCATGCGCCACCATGCCTGGCTAATTTTTTCTATGTATTTTTAGTTGTCCAGATAATTTCTTTCTATTTTTTTAGTAGAGACGGGGTCTCGCTCTTGCTCAGGCTGGTCTCAAACTCCTGAGCTCAAACAATCTGCCCGCCTCGGCCTCCCAGAGTGCTGGGATTACAGGCGTGAGCCACCGCGGCCGGTCTGCATTTTTTTTTTATTATGGTGCTTCAAGGAAATTTGTATATCAAGCCAGGTAACAAATGTCAAATTCAAGACAGTTTTTCCAAATTAAGTAATCTTATAAGAGGTAATATGGGAAGCTCAAACAAGAAGCCTAAAGATTTGGTATATTACAGTGGTTAAAGCACCGACTATGAAATCAAACTGCTGTGTAACTTGGGCAAGTTAATTAACTTGTCTGTGTCATGGTTTCCACATCTATAAAAATGAGGAAATAGATCCATACCTACCCTCAGAGGGTTGCTTTTAAATTAAATAACACAGAAAAAAATGGTAAGTAAGACAATCCATATAAATAATTACAAAAGACCTGATATGTGGTAAACATGCTAGGAGTACAGTCATGTGCCATATTACAATGTTCGGGTCAAAGACAGACTGCATATACAACAGCGGTCCCATAGATTATAATGGAGCTGAAAAATTCCTATTGTCTAGTGATGCTGTAGCCACCGTAACGTTGTAACACAATGCATTACCTTTTCTATGTTTAGAGATGTTAAGATATACAAATACCATTGCGTTACAATTGCCTACAGTATTCAGTACAATAATATGCTATACAGGTTTGTAGCCTAGGCTCTACCATACAGCCTCGGTGTACAGTAGGCTATACTCTCATCTAGGTTTGTATAAGGACACTCTACGATGTTCACGCAATGACAAAAATCACCTAACAATGCATTTCTCAGAATGTATCCCCATAGTTAAGAGACATGTAACCGTAATAGCAATTGTTATTCTAAAACTCGTGAAAAATTACCAAACCACTAGAAGAACTTGGTATATTCTGACCTTGAATACTATAGGGCTGTGCGCTAATTAATTAACCAAAATGAGAATATCACTACTAAAAAATCCATGGGATATATGAACAAAGGTGTTTAAAAAAAAAAAATCCATGGAAAAAGAAAGGAAAGTAGTACAGATAAACAATAAGTGGATCAAATAGCTTCCAAATTCACTGAATTCATTTACTTAAAATAACATGCCATGCTGACAATATGCCTATGTCAGTAAAAGCACTGACTGGCTTTGTTATAATAGGTATTAAACAGGGATATACTGGAAAATAGACACAAGCATGTATATGCTTATCCTATAAATAGATGATTCCCCATCTAATGTATCAAATCTAAATTATGAACCACGAGATTCAATCTCCATCAGACTTCACATATTTCATTTTCCATTGCCTTGTCTCAATTAATCCTCTAACTCCGTACCTCCATAAGCTCTGTGCCTCTCGTCTGTCCTCTCTTACCTATCTATGCATATCTCTATCTTATATATACCATATAATACTGTAATTGTCTTATATGCCTATCTTTTCCTACTGGACTTGAGTTTTCAGTGAGATCAGAAACTGTTTCTTGTCAATCTTTGTGTCTATTGTAACCAGCACAAAAAAATCACAAAGCAAATGCTTAGTAAACATTTAGTGAATAAATGATTAAACCAGTGTATGAAATGTTAATTGAAAAGGATAAAAGGTTGATAAAATGAATGATTCCAGAAAAGGCCAACTATTAAAAAAAAAAAAATCAAAGAAACCCAGATCACTTATTGTTAAATCTTAAAAGGTACCACTTTTCTTTTTATTTCAGCATATTATAGGGGTACAGATGTTTAGGTTACGTATGTTGCCCTTGCCCCTCCTCCCCCCTAAGTCCGAGTTTCAAATATGTCCATCCTTCGAGTGGTGCACATTGCACTCTTTGTGTATGCAAATACCCGTCCCCTCCTCACTCCTCCCCCCTGCCCGACATCCAATAGATGTTATTCTTATATGTGCACTTATGTGTTGATCAGTTAATACCAATTTGATGGTGAGTACATGTGGTGCTTGCTTTTCTATTTTTGGGATACCTCACTTAGTAGAATGCGTTCCAGCTCTGTCCAGGAGTATACAAAAGGTGCTATATCACTATTGTTCCTTAAAGTTGAATAGTACTCCATGGTATACATATACCACATTTTATTAATCCACTCATGTATTGATGGACACTTGGGTTGTTTCCACATCTTTGCAATTGTGAATTGTGCTGCTATAAACATTCGGGTGCAGGTGTCTTTCTTATACAGTATCATTTGTTCTTTTGGGTAGATGCCCAGTAATGGGATTGCTAGATCAAATGGCACTTCTAACTGTATCTCTTTAAGGTATCTCCATATTGTTTTCCACAGAGGTTGCACTGGTTTGCAGTCCCGTCAACAGTGCACGAGTGTTCCTATCTCTCTGCATCCACGCCAACATTTATTGTTTTGGGACTTTTTGACAAAGGTCATTCTCACTGGAGATAAGTGATATCTCATTGTGGTTTTAATTTGCATTTCCCTGATGATTAGAGATGTTGAGCATTTTTTCGTATGTTTTTTGGCCATTATTCTCTCTTCTTTTGAAAAATTTCTGTTCATGTCCTTTGCTCACTTTTTGATAGGGTCGTTTGATTTTTTCTTGTTGATTTTCCCGAGTTCTAAGTAGATTCTGGTTATCAGCCCTTTAGTGGATTTGTAGCATGCAAAAATTCTCTCCCATTCTGTAGGTTGTCTGTTTGCTCTTGTGACAGTTTCTTTGGCTGTGCAGAAGCTTTTTAATTTGATCAGGTCCCATTTATTTATTTTGGTTGTTGCTGTGATTGCCTTTGGGGTCTTCTTCATAAATTCTTTGCCTAGGCCAATGTCTAGAAGAGTATTTCCAACATCTTCCTCTAAAATTCTAATAGCTTCACTCCTTAGGTTTAAATCTGTTACCCAGCGTGAGTTGATTTTTGTGAGAGGTGAAAGGTGTGGATCCTGCTTCAGTCTTCTACACGTGGCTATCCAGTTTTCCCAGCACCATTTATTGAATAAGGATTCTTTTCCCCAGTGTATGTTTTTGTCTGCTTTGTCAAAGATTAGGTGGCTATATGAGGATGGTTTTATATCTGGGTTCTCAGTTCTGTTCCACTCGTCAATGGCTCTATTTTTGTGCCAGTACCAAGCTGTTCTGATTACTACAGCCTTGTAACAAAGTTTGAAGTCTGGTAAATTGATACTTCCCATTTTGTTTTTATTGCCTAGAATTGTTTTTGCTATGCAGGGCCTTCTCTGGTTCCATACGAAGCATAAAATTAATCTTTCTACATCTGTGAAGAATGATGTTAGTATTTTAATAGGGATTGCATTGAATCTGTAGATCACTTTGGGTAGTATAGACATCTTAACGATGTTGATTCTGCCGACCCACGAGCATGGTATGATTTTCCACCTGTTTATGTCCTCTGCTATTTCCTTCCTCAATGTTTCATAGTTCTCCCTGTAGAGGTCTTTTACCTCCTTAGTTAAATATACTCCTAGATACTTTATTTTCTTAGTTGCTATTGTGAAGGGAATTGAGTCTTTGATTTGGTTCTCGGTACCACTTTTTTTTAACACCAAAACTAATATTTTACTTCATGAAAATATATTTTGAAATAAAACTATATTCAAGTCTATACCTCTTAAATTTTTAGTATAATTTGGCAAGAAAAGCATAAATACAATAAATATCCTTGTTTCAAATATACAGGCTAAGACAACATTAGTAACAGTTTTAACTTGTATAATTCTTGCTTTCTAGCTTTTTGTTTATTTTATAGGGTTAAACCAAAGACAATTTTAAATGCATGATAATTTTAAAAAATAAGATTACAATATTGTGCTTTCTTTTCTTAACTCACTTTTCTGTTTTGAAGAATATTGCACAACCATCCACATGCTTTCTCTCCTGCTCAGACATGATTTTGGCACGTGACTTTGGAGAAAAAAATCCATCATACCCACGCTCCTTCAATGCTGGCAGAAAAAGAGTGAAGTATTGCTCTGTTTCCACTTCCTGAGATAAAAGAAAAGTTATCATCCACATGACAGAGGGAAATCTCTGATTAAGATATTAAAATGTGCAGCATTATAAGGTGTAATTAAGTTAAAATAATTCAGATAACAGATATTATCTGACTATCTTACCTTATTTCTAGCAGCTGCCACTTGACAATGGCAGCTTTTTAAACATGAGCCAGAAAGGTGACATGACTTTCTCGTGCTCACACAGCTAGTTAGTGACAGGAGCAAGATTATACCCCAGGGCTCTTGCTCCCCAGTTTAGAGTTCATTCCACTATTCTCCATTTCCTCAAGACTGGTAATTAAACAGAACAATTTGAGCATATGATCAATTAAGTGGTAGGGAAGAGTAAATTTTATATACAAAGAAGTAATTTTTGAAATTATTTATCCTTCTGAACCATGGTAGAAAGGAATGATACCCAAGAGTGAGAAATGTTAAGATCAACAAAAAATTCTAGTTTAAGAAATTTTCAGGTACCTAAATACCAATCATCCAATGGTTTCTGTTAATTATTAAGTTAGACTATTTTATTCTTTGACTCATAAAATATTAATAAATCTTTCCAAATGAAATAACCAAATATGAAGAAATGATTTATATATGAAGATGCTAATAATAGCATAATTTTTAACAGCAAGACCCCATACACAACTAAATATCCAATAGTAGGGAAAAGGCTTAATATATGTTCATATTATTGCTTTTGAAGAATTTTAGTAACATGGAAAATCTATTAGGTGCAATAAACAAAATATGCCAATAATGTGATATCAATTTTGTTTTGCAAATATATCTGTAAATAAATTGGTAAGTGAATAAGAAAAAAAATGTACAGAGGAAAATACTCCAGAAGTTTTAACATAGTAACTGTCTTCAGGATATGAGATTAAATGTTTGTCTCCAACATGCTTTATGTTTTTTCAAAACTTTCAACTTATCTAAAATAAACACTTTATAATACTATGTAGTATTATTTTTATAATAAGAAAATAATTTCCTGAAATTGTTAATGTTTTAGCCTTCAAACTATACTTAATTAGAAGAGTATCAGGCTGTTATCACTGCCAATACTAAACCAAAAGGTGGAAAATTAAGTAACTACAGTAGTTACTAGCCTAGTGTCGTTTGCCTCCTCCTTCAATTCTGTGTGTCAGTGTTTTTAAGAAATTTTAATTTCTGAAGACTTAATTTCTTGTTATTTTCTAGGCAATATAAAAATAAATTATCAAGCTACTCTATAAGAAAAAATATTTAAAATAATAATTTTTCCTCTCAAACTACGTTGAAATGAATGTGTGAAATTATAATACTTAAAATTTTAAAACACTTTTAAGAAATAAGTATTTGAAGTGATGGATATGTTAAATTTGCCTGATTTGTTCATTCCACAATGTATACATGTATCAGAACATCCCTGTACCCCATAAACATATAAAAGTGTTTGTCAATTTAAGAAAATTTTAAACCTTCAAGCACTTAATATGTTTTGGAAGTTACTAAGAAAAAAATTACTAAAAACTACTCAAATCTTTTTGTCTCATCATTAACTAAATGATGAAAAGCAGTAATAAAATATATTTCATGAAAACATGCTGCTTTTTCAGCTAAGTTCATTACAATAAGGTGTTATAAAACAAAAGAATCTAAATTTCAGAGGTGCTTTATAGAGTAAGGCAAAAATGAATGATTTATAATATTTTTAAATGTTTATCTTTAAAAAAACTGTGGGCAAACACTTTCTTTTTTAACAGACTCCATAATAAATTAAATTTGTATTCCTAAAGATGGGAATCTTCTACAGTTTTCTCTTTCAGCAATACCAATGACTTGTTCATGAGGTGAATTATTAACATAGATAATGAGTGAAATTATTTTCACTTAAGAAAACAGTAAATGAATATAAGTGGATGGCTGTACTTAGCAAAATAGTTTCACTGTGGAAATGTCTTAAATGTTCATTTAAATTGTCCTTTATTTTAAGAGGAGAGAAAATAAGTCCTTCTGAGTTTTGCTTTGAACACAGGACTCTCCCAGAGGTAAGATCTTCTTCTATTATTTTTAAGTTCACTTTTAAGTTAAAGACAATTTAATTTCTATGGTGTTACCTGAAGACTAATGATATCTGCGTCACAGTTAACAATTTCTTCCATAATTCCCTTTTTCCTGTATTCCCAGTTTAATGCCCAGGATGGGCAATAGCCATATAGCTGCCGGGTGGCGTATTTATCACATAACACATTGTAACACATAACCGTGAATGATGCTAAGAAGTGGGGGAAAAAAAAAACAACAGACAAAAGGGAGAAAATTAGGCAACTTCTTCTAAAGCAGTATCATGTGTACACCTGCACAAGCACACACACATACCCCAATATCATCACTGTAAAATGTCTAGGCAGTCTAAGATTTTGTTACTCTATCTACCAAAACTTCACTGGAGTTCACCATATCAAAGTTCTTTTACTTGTCTTAAATTAGACTAACAGTTCACATTTGAGATTTTTGAGGAAATTTATCTTAATAAAAATTCAAACTTTAAATTGGAGTGCTGATTTTTTTATGTAATTTGCTGAGAAAAGCTTCTCAAAATAGATGAAACAAAGGTAAATTTTGGTTTCATTCTAATAAAAGGGCTCTAATCTCAATTTTTATTAACAAAATATCCATACTTAATTTTGAGGGGGGCCTCTTACTGTTGTTACTACTCTGAGGCAGGAGAGAATAGTCTAACAAAATTTAGTTGTAAGAGAATCCCTTTTGCTAATCAAATGTTCACTCCTAAAATGAAATTCTCATTTTAAAATGTCCTTAACCATAGAAGGACTGTGCGCCAACTAATAGGCAGGAGAAGATGGTTTGTATCCCTGCTACTCAAAAATGGCTCTAAAGACTAGTAATATTAGTTATCACCTTGGAACTTAGAAAAGCAGAATCTCTGGCCCCACAAATACCTATTGAATAAAATCTTCAGTTTAACAAAATCCCCAGGTGATTCATATGCACATGTACATTAAAGTCTGAAAAGCCACAATTTTTATCAGCAATCCTTACTGCCCATTAGAATCCACTTTGTAGAGTGTTAAAAAAAATGCTGAAACCAAGGGCCTGACTCCAGACTAATTAAGTCAGAAAACTAGATTTTGGGTGTTCATATTTTAAAAAGCATTCCAGATGATTACAATGGACAGATATAGCTGAGAATCACTTATTTAAATAAAATGTGAGAAATCCAAGGTGAAGTGACACTTGATTGAAGTTGGTTCAGTTTTAGATGCGAAAGGTATTAAGAAAAACTCAGTTCAGTGGTCCCCCGGCAGTCTGACTGGTGGCCATTTTGTACACTGGGGACTAAATTTCAGTTTGAGTTGATTTGTATTCTGATTATTTATCTTGGAAATGATCCAGAACCATTTCCGAGCTACTACATTGTGAGGTGAGCACCCTGAGTTTACCTTACTCTGCTGCTTCTCCAGATTTGAAATGTCATTTGGAAGAAAGGGGAAAAGAAGCAAGGCAGATTGTTAATTGCTTCATGCAGACTGTTTCTAAAACTTTATGAAGTGAGATTTTATAGAAAAAGCCAGAGGCTGCAATTTTTTTTTTTTTTTTTTTTTTTTTTGAGACAGGGTCTTGCTCTGTGGCAGGGGCTAGAGTACAGTGGTGTCATCATAGCTCACAGCAACCTCAAATTCCTGGGCTCAAGTGATTCTCCTTCCTCAGGCTCTCGAGTAGCTGGGACTACAGGCGCGCACCACCATGCCTGGCTAATTTTTCTTTTCCTTTCTTTCTTTCTTGCTCAGGCTGGTCTCAAACTCCTGACCTCAAGCGATCCTCCAGCCTCAGCCTCCCAGAGCGCTAGGATTACAGGCATGAGCCACCATGCTTAGCCGCGATTTCTATAACATACCCAAAACTCTCCATATCAGTGTCAATGCCTGAGAATGAGCTAGCAATTTTTAAACAGAAGTGAAAATTAGCTAAATTGCTTAGTATCACTACTCTCCTGTACCCTGTTTCTTTTTCATACCTTTTTCACTATCTGGGCTTGATTCCTACATAGTTTATCATTATAGTTTTTTGGCTGTAAATTACCCGTAACCATTACTATTTACTATATACATTCCCCTATGCATCAGAAAAGGCATTTTTAATAAAAACTTACTTTAGCACTCAGATTCTACTCTGATATATCACAAGAAAAACCCCTACTGGTTTTTCAATAAGGAAAACCTCAGAACACATTACTTTAGGAACTCAAGAACTAATGAAAACTTGTTTTTACTGTTCCTTTTATTTCTTTTTTGTTTTTCCTTTCTTTAGAGACAGAGTCTCACTTTGTCACCCAGGCTGGAGTGTAGTGGTGCAATCATAGCTCACTGTAATCTCTAACTCCTGGACTCAAGCAATCCTCCTACCTCAGTCTCCGGAGTAGCTAGGACTACAAACAAGTGCACGCCACCAAGCCAGGCTAATTTTCTTTTAATTTTCTATAGAGACGGGGTCTCACTATGTTGCTCAGACTGTTCTCAAAGTCCTAGGCTCAAGCAATCTTCCTGCCTTAGCCTCCCAAAGTGCTGAGGTTACAGGCGAGAGGCACTGCACCCAGCTACTGTTTCTTTTCTTAATGGAAATATAGCTGTGCAATATTAGGAAAGCTTTTAAGATTATGTTCACTCATGTTCAAAGAGGATTACTTTGGTGAACTAGAAAATTGTATTTTTAACATCAGCAAGGGAATAATTAATTATACACTAGGGAAGACCAAGTATAAAATAAATCCACTTAAGGCACTGTAGAAAACTTTAGGTATTCCTTTTACTTAGACCATCAATGGGCATCCTGATAATAGAGGTGTTATTCATGGTAACAGCAACACAGTGCCTCTTACAATAGGCTGATACTGTGGCAATAGAGTATGGTGGTTTTAAAATTATATTCTCTGAAAGCACAAAAATGTCCTATATATCATACTATTTCTCAGTGTTATTAAAATGCAAATAAATCTCCAAAGAGGTTACATATCCCACATTTCCCAATACTAAAACAAATGACTTGTTTTGAATCTGCTTGCTTCTTAACTTAAAAAAAGCCAAAATCTCACAAACAGAAGGGCTTTATATAGTTCAAAATGGTTCATAATAAATTCTGTGATTTACCCTTTAAAAATTATTAAAGTAGCAGTATTCCAAGACTGGTTTAACCTTCACATTGAAACAGTTAAAATTTTCATCTAATTTTAAAATGAAATTAGCTATCATGAAAACTATTACTCCTAAGAATAAAAAGACATTTGGAGAAACAATAATTCATAACTTATTTTAAGTAGAATTCCCAAGCATAAAATGTCTAACATGTAATAAGTAGCCCTGTAAATGTCAATCCCTTTTGGGCCCTACAAAGAGGTAATAAAGGTTTATATCTTCCACATTACTACAATTCTAGAAATGCTAGATAATATCCTTATATTGCTCAAATACTCACCCCTCTACTATTTAGTCACTCCTGGACTGATATCATAAATTTTGTTGCCAACATAGCAAATATATACCCAGTCTAAATTATTCTTCTATAAATGTTATCCACCTACCTCTCAAGAAAGATAAAGTAACTTAGTAGCTTAAAACTTTTCAGAAGAAAATTCATTATCGCTCATTTTTCTTAAATCACCCAATACCATGTGAAGATGCTATTTTGAAAACTGTATTACAGAAATAATTTTAAAACCAAGAGCTGCATTACTGTGAAAGATACAAAATATTTGTATATAGGCCTATCTTAATGTGTATTTTTAGAAGTCTATCCATCAGTATTTTTAAACTCATCTACTCACAAAGAAGTAAAATGAAGGCTTGTTAATTATAGATAATGAAGTCCAAATGGTATTTTAAGTATTTCTGAAAAAAGTCAAAGAAAAATGAGAAAAACTATTTACCTGATGGCAGAATTTGGTCTCGTTCTTTTAATGTAATCCATGGCCTCGGAGGAAGCTGCTCTGGATGAACTGAACAAAAAAATTGTAAATATAAGTTACTTTCATATGTTTCTAAAATCAATATCATTTAGTTTATAATGTCAAATCAACCTATTTTCTATTCATCTGTAATGGCCAACAAACTGACTTAAAACTCTAAAGCTGAAATTTAAAGAAGATTTAGAAGTCAAAGCAACTTTAAGAAGACCTATGCAAGGCCGGGCGCGGTGGCTCACGCCTGTAATCCTAGCACTCTGGGAGGCCGAGGCGGGCGGATTGTTTGAGCTCAGGAGTTCGAGACCAGCCTGAGCAAGAGCGAGACCCCGTCTCTACTAAAAATACAAAGAAATTAATCGGACAACTAAAAATATATAGAAAAAAATTAGCCGGGCATGGTGGCGCATGCCTGTAGTCCCAGCTACTCGGGAGGCTGAGGAAGAAGGATTGCTTGAGCCCAGGAGTGTGAGGTTGCTGTGAGCTAGGCTAACGCCACGGCACTCACTCTATCCAGGGCAACAGAGTGACACTCTGTCTCAAAAAAAAAAAAAAGAAGACCTATGCAGAGAACACAGAACTAATATCAGAAAAGAACATTAGGAAACTCATTAACGGCATTTCCACTTACACAGTATTTATGAAAAATATTAATACCTATTTAAAACCCTAAGTAAAATCTTAGGTCTTAATTACATATGCAAACTGTGTTGACTCAGCCTTATGCTCTTCTGGGAAATCAAAGCTATGTGAAATTTTAATATACTGATGACTTAAAAGAGTCAAACATTTTTAAAATAGAAAAAAGCACACATACATATGTGTAATAAAAACTAGTGAATTTTCTAATGCAGTTTTCATTTCCTGATTTCATTCTCTCTCTCTTTTATAATGTCAATGCAAAGCTAGAGATAAGGAAAGAACTCCATTGTACAGAAAAAAGGAAGGCACTTGTTAATAATTAACTGCTTGGATATGGTTATCAATACCACGGAACTACATGCTACTCAATTACCAGATGGAAAAAACTCACTACGTTAAGATTTAACTATTCCATTTCTTTCCCTTTTAAAAATATTTGGAATTATAGGACAACTTGATTCAAGTTTATAGATTTGCCCACAGTATTAGTGGCTGAGAAATGTATTCTTTTAAAACAAAAAACACTCTTTATCCAGCTATGGAAATTTTAACCTAAGTAGCTCAGATCTTTGAAACTGTCACTTTACTAACCATTTTGGTGTTCCAAAAGTCTCTCTAAAGTGTACTATTTTGATTTAGCAGCCATACTTATTGCAGAGTGAAATGAACATGACTTCACCTATTTCATATCTTGCCAGGAAAGAAATGAAGGTTGCTACAAGATGACAGACAAATTGTCCAGCTGATTCAACATACTGAATCCTAGAAAATAATCATGCCTGCAAGGAGTGCCATGCCAGAATCAGGCGTCTGTCTCAAAAGTGGAAAGCCCACTATACAAATGGAATAAAGGGTAAACCAAGAACTTTCCAGCTATTAGGATCCTTAACAGCAAAATCTATCTAAGTTGGCTTTGTTAAAAATTCTGAAATCAAAAAACTTCTCAAAATAAAACAAGTAAGGTAATGTCAACATTCTGGTGCTTCCCATATCTTAACTAACACACCACAATATATCAGTGTAAATAAAATACACAGTATTCACCAACAATATCCAAAGAGCCAAAAACATATGAAAGGATACTCTATTTCACCAGTAACCAGTACAATTAAAAAGATGAGATAGCATATTTGTTACCCAATACAAATTTTTTAAGTTTAATAATATCTAGAGGCCGGGCGCGGTGGCTCACGCCTGTAATCCTAGCTCTCTGGGAGGCCGAGGCGGGCGGATTGTTTGAGCTCAGGAGTTCGAAACCAGCCTGAGCAAGAGCGAGACCCCGTCTCTACTAAAAATAGAAAGAAATTAATCGGACAACTAAAAATATATAGAAAAAATTAGCCGGGTGCAAAAACAATGGTAAATGGCTAAATAATATCCATTTTAAGAAAAGTCTATGCTAGCCGGGCGTGGTGGCTCACGCCTGTAATCCTAGCACTCTGGGAGGCCGAGGCGGGCGGATTGTTTGAGCTCAGGAGTTCGAAACCAGCCTGAGCAAGAGCGAGACCCCCGTCTCTACTAAAATTAGAAAGAAATTAATCGGACAACTAAAAATATATAGAAAAAATTAGCCGGGCATGGTGGCGCATGCTTGTAGTCCCAGCTACTCGGGAGGCTGAGGCAGAAGGATCGCTTGAGCCCAGGAGTTTGAGGTTGCTGTGAGCTAGGCTGATGCCACAGCACTCTACCCAAGCAACAGAGCGAGACTCTGTCTCCAAAAAAAAAAAAAAAAAAAAAAAAGTCTATGCTGTAGTTTTTTAAAAAAAGATATATATGTGTTATAGAGGAAAAATATCCATGGGATATTGTTGAATTTTAAAAAAGGTGCAAAAATACATCATTTAATGTGATATAATTTATTAGAAAATTTAAAAACTATGCACTAAAAATAATATAAAAATTCTGCTGGTGTAATTTTTGTATAGAAATGCCTACCAGAAAGTAAAAAGATACATACTCAAATCACAAGTGTGATTACCTACATGGAGGGGCCTGAGATTAAAGGTAGCAGTCAAAGGAAATCTCAGCTTTAACATGAATTTTAACATTTTTTACAAGAAGGATAATATATTCATGTGAGACATGTATTTAAAATCAATTTTTAAAGATGAAACTGCATGGCCAATGACATGACAAAGGAAAGGAATAGACTTACATAAGCTACTATGACATCAAATAAATATATTAGTGACTCAATCTGCCAAAGGTAACATCTCCAGCAAAGCCCCAGAGAGCCAACCCACCCCATATCAGCTGGCAGCAGAGGACCTGATATGCCCACAGTGGAAGTGTAAGCTGAGCCTAGAAGACACAACAGAACTATATGCTAAACCTAAATAGGGCAATTGCCTGCTAAATTAGAGATTTAAAAAGGACCAAGAGTCTCATAATATCCAATACCCATAATATCCAAAATGTCCTAGGTACAAATGAAAATCACCAGTCATACCAAGAACCAGAAAAATCACAACTTAAATGAGAAAAGACTATCAACAGATGATAACACTAAAATGATTCAGATGTCAAAATTACCTGACAGATTTTAGGGCAGCCATCATAAAACTGCTTGAACAAGTGGTTACAAATTCCCTTGAAACAAATGAAAAAATTAAAAATCCCAGCAAATAAAGTTATTTTTTTAAAAAGACCACATAGATATTATCAAACTGGAAAATACAATAACCAAAATTTTAAAACTTATTGGAAGGGCACAATAGAACAAAAGATAAAATGAGTGAACTGGAGAACAAACCAATAGAACTTAATCTGAACAAAAAGAATATGGACTGAAAAAAATAAACAGAGTCTGAAAATCCTGTGGAACTATAACAAAAGACCTAAATTTGTATCATCTGAGTTCCAGGAGAAGAGAAAGAATGGGGAGCTGCAGAAGTATTCTAAGAGATAATGGCTAAAAATTTCCAAACATTATGTGAAAGACAGCCATCTACAAATTCAAAAAAGTGAGCAAACCTCAAGTTTAATAAACCCAAAGAGAAACTGAGATCACAGAAACAGGGCCGAGTTTGAATTGTGAATGGGAGTCAGAAATTGGAGGCGGCTAACATTCATATGAGATGTTCAGGAAAAAAGAAATGGGGAAAGAAGACTTTAAGAGATTTTGCTGTATATGAATTGAAATCTGTTAGTGTTTTCAAGAAGCTATAGATAAAAATATCATTCGGGATGGTTTTTTTTTCAACTTTAATTTCCCAGAGAAGAGTACAGAGAAGAGTCCTAAATTGAGGATGGGAAGAATGAGAGTGAAATAATTAGACTAGACCTTAAGTCACCATTCTCACATTCTATTATTTGTCCCCTTTCAAAGTACTGCATGAACAGCAGCAGTGGATGCTGTGCTGTGTTGTCCAAATCTCCTTTAGGAATGGGGACCTTATTCCCCCAGGTGCCAAGATTGCTGCCAGAAGGTGGCCCTCAGCTGTCCAGCCCCTTCCAGGGATTGCCTCCATTCAGAGAGCACCTCACCCAGTCACACCCATGCCATAGTGGCCCACATCCAGTGATTAATCAGAGTGAAGGTTTAAATTCCTGGTCCCATCACCCAATGGGGACAACTGTAAAGGGTCAAACAGCTTCAAAACTCTCTGTGGGGTCAGCTGAATCCCTGATTGAGATGACTTCCCAACTCGACTTCTTCCACTGTTCATAATGCCATACTTCAGTATTAGTATTGCTAACACTTAAAATACATATTAACTTTACTTAAACATAATTTTTTCTGCCATTGTTACTCTCCAATATGCTATAATAAATGTTAATTTCATAGTAAAAAAAAATAAAAATAAAAAAACCCAAAGAAATCCACACAAGACAGACCATAATTAAACTTCTTAAAAATAAAGAACCTTAGAAATAACACATCACCTATAGGGGAATATCAATTTGAATGACATTGGATTTCTTTTCTAAAACAACGGACGCTCGAGAAAGTGGTACATTTTTCAAAAACTGAAAGAAAAGAACTGTCAACTGCAAATTCTGTATCCAGCAAAACTATGCTTCAGAAATTAAGGGTAAATAAAGATATTAACAAGCAAAAGAAAACTAAGACTTTGTTGCTAGCACAACAAAGTCTTAAAGAATGGCTAAAGGAGCCCTCTAAATAGAAATGTGTGTGTGTGTGTGTGTGTGTGTGTGTGTGTGTGTGTAAAACAGAACAAAGAAATGGAACATTAAAAAGGAGAGAACAAGGAATGTGTAAATATAACAGATTATCCTTCTTCTCCCCATCAGCTTCTTAAATCGTATTTGACAGCTGAAGCAAAATTTATTGTAACAACATCTGTTTTGATGCTCATGTAGGTACCTAGTATTTCCTAAATACACAAATTAAAAGAGCAGAATGTTAGCAAAGTGAATAAAAAACATGGCACATGACAACTATATGCTAACTACAAGAAGCTCACATCAAATGCAACAGTATAGGAAAATTGAAAGTAAGAGAATGGAAAATGATATATCATGGTAACATTAATCGAACAAAGCAAGAGTGGCTATATTAATTTCAGATAAAGTAAATTTCAGAGCAAAGAAAATACTAGGAATATAGAGGGTCATTACATAATAATGAAATGATCAATCCACTAAGATGTAGGAATTCTAAACATGTATGCACCAAACGATAGATCTTCAAAACACCTAAAGAAAAACTGACAAAGTTAAAAGAAGAAATAAACAAATCCATAGTTACAGCTGGGGATTTAAACACCAACACCAGCATTTGATAGGCCTACTAGATAGAAAATTAGAAAAGATACAGAAGAATTGAACACCACCACCCATGCACATGACCTAATTTATATTTACAGAATAATCTATCCAACAACTAGACAATATGTATTTTTTTTCAAGAGTCCATGGAACATTCCCAAGATAGACAATATCCTGAACTGTAAAACAAACCTCAACAAATATTAAAAAACTGAAATACAGAATATGTTTTACAACTGGTCCCAAACTAGAATCAAATAAGAAATCAATAGAAAGACAACAGGAAAATAAAACACTTGTAAATTAAACAGCATACTTCTAAATAATCCATCATTCAAAGAGGAAGTCCCAAAGGAAATTTAAAAATACACTGAACTAAATGAAAATGAAAATACAACCATCACAATCTGTGAGGTACAGCTAAAGTAATACTGACAGGGAAATTTATAGTGTTATATGCTTACGTTAAAAAAGAGGAAAGTTCTCAAATCAAAAATCTAAGTTTCTACATCAAACTAGAAAAAAAACAAAATAAGCCCAAAGCAAGCAGAAGAAAGGAAATAAGAAGACACAGGAATACGGAAAGGTTAAATATAAAAGAACAGAAGAAAACTAAACAATGCAAATTCAAACCGAAGGAGAATTCATGCAACTATTTTTTTTGTAGCTATATTAATATCAAAGTAAATTTTAAAGGAAGAACAGCCCAATAAAAGATTTAAATAACCAGGAATATAAACACACTCTTAGAATATTTAATTAAAAAGCTGAAAGAACTACAAGAAGAAATAGACAAATCTACAATCAAAATGGGAGATTTTAACACAGCTCTGTCAGTAATGAATAAAACTAATCACTAGTATATTGGTCCAGCACAATAGCTCACGCCTATAAATCCCAGCATTTTGGGTAACCAAGGCAGGAGTATTGCTTGAGCCCAGGAGTTCAAGACCAACCTGAGCAATATCACAAGACCCCATCTCTACACACACACAAAATTTTTTTTTAAATTAGCCGGGCATGGTGGGGCATGTCTGTAGTCCTAGCTACTGGGGAGGCTGAGGTGGGAGGATTGCTCGATCCCAGGACTTCCAGGTTACAGTAAACTATGATGTACCACTGTATTCCAGCCTGGGCAACAGAGTGAGACCCTGTCTCAAAAATAATAATAATAAAGTATATATAACACATTCAAACAATATAATTAACAAACTAATACACATTAGAATACTGCACTGAACTACAGAAGACGAATCCTTTTCAAGTGCACAATTAACAGTCACAAAAATTATGTATGTGGTAATAAATAACACATTCTTAAAAATTTAGATTAATCAGAGTATATTCTCTGACTACAATGGAATCAAGCTAGGAGTCTATGACAAAGAAAACTAGAAAAATTCCACTGAAAATAAAGAATTAAATTTCTAAATAACTCACAGGTCAAAGAAGAAATGATGAGGGCTATTAGAAAATATGCTGAACCAAATTATAATGAAAATAAAACAAATTAAAGCTTGTGGAATGCAGCCAAAAGTCATATTTAGAGGGAGATTTATAAATAAATATATTGAAGAAAAAAAGACTAGAAATTAATGATTTAGGTGTGTACACATCTTAAGTTAGAAAAATAACACTAAATGAAACCCAAAGAAAGCCAAAGGAAGGAAGAAACAAAGAGAAGACATTAATGATATTAAAAACAAACATAATAAAGAAGACCAACGAAGCTAAAAGTTGGTTCTTCTTTTCAAAGAAAATATTGATAACTACTTGGGCAAGACTTTATAAGAAGTAAATAGAGGCAACACAAATGAACTAATACCTAGAATGGAAAACAGACATCATTCATTATACATCCTATGGACACTAAAACATAAGATATTCTGTACATATAACTTTATGCCAATAAATTCGAAGATTTAGACAAAATGTGCAAATTTCCAGAAAACACAACTTTCAGAAACGCACAGAAAAAGGAATGGAAATCAGAATAGTACTATAGTTATTGAAGAAATCAAGTAAGTAATATAAAAAAAAACACCTCAGGCCCAGATGTATTCTACCAAACATTTAAGAAATAAAAAGACAGCAACAACCTTAAACAAAGTCTTCCAGATAACAGAAAATGAAGAAATATTCCTCAATAAATTTGATGAAGCTAGTATAACTTTAATATCAAAACTTGACAAGTACACTGACTTTTTATAAAGCAATCATAATTAATGACACTGTTATATCACCACAAAGACTAATGGAAGAAAATAGAAAATCCAGAAACAGATCCACACATACATCGACACTTGATTTATGACAAAGACAGCACTAAAAAACAGTAGCGAAAGGACAGTCTTATCAATAAATGGCCCAGGGTTAATACAATGTACATACGGAAATGTCATGAAACCTAACTCCTACCTCACATAAACATCAATTTCAGGAAGAATATAGCTCTAAATGTTGCAAGTAAAAAAATGAGAGTTTCTCAATAATAATATAGAAGAATACATTCCTGATCTTCAAAACTCTTAAAGAGGGTAGGGAAAAACTCTTAAAGAGAACACAAAAGCTGTACTGTAACATGAAAGATCAATAAATTGGATTGGAGTATGTTAAAATTTTTCTATTCATCAAAAGACAAATCAAGTGAATGAAAAAGCAAACAGCAGCACAGGAGAAGACACCTACAATACATATAACAAAAAGCTTATTATCTAAAACATATGAAGAACTCCATTAAAATTACATATACACATCACATACATGCCATATGGCTGGGTCAACTGACTACATCTATACAGACAAGAGAGATATTTAATTTCAAAGCAAGTTGGAAACAGCAAATATATGCTGTATACACATTAAACTACCACATATTCCTAATTCCTTACTTTTAGACCTCTGTAATAAATTTGCTTATTTCTCTTCCAATCAATTTTTAGTCTTATTATGCAAAAACTTTTTAGATATTAATTTGGTTTTACCTTATTTTAAACTTTAATTTTTGTGTATGTGAGGGTATCTTCTATGATGAAGAGAATTTAAAAAGAGTATAGACCAAATACTGTGATGATGGTCTCTGTGCTGGAACTTATAATTACTCTAGCTGTTTCAGAACTCTGTACTTTAGAAAGATGTTATTCCAAGAAAATATCTGCCTTTAGTAGTATCTCCATATTTTTCCCATATTTTGAGTGCTAAAGATGTTAGGTTTGTTCCAGTTGGGAACTCAAAAAGTATGTATGGGACAGAATGGGGTTAATGGAAAACGGAGGTTTGTGAATCTATAGCTGCAGGGGTCTGGTGAGTCCCCGGAGATTGTAAGCCTAACAGAAAGCTGCAGCCAGCATTCCTATCCACCACCCCCACCCCCGCCCCGGGCCCCATGAGGACGGAACTATCCTCCTCCCTTATCTCTACAGGATGAGACTGACCCAAGGATCCCAGAAATTGGTTATTTGAAAAAAAATTTTTATTGCAGCGGCTGTTCTGGCCCAGGTACTCACTCCCGGCTAAGAAACCCCCTATAAAACCCAAGGCTTTCCCCTCCCACAGCGTGGATGCCCTTTGGCATCCCATCTGCACCCAGATGCCCAAAATAAACAGCATTTTTGCTACACATGAGACTTCATGTGTGTCTCTCTCTCGGCTCCAGACCTAATAAAAGGAAAAAAATGTTTTAAGTCAAATATTTGGTAGTCTTTTTATATAAGAAAACTTTAGTTTGGAATACAACTATTTTAGGCAGATAAATCTGGTGTTCTTCATTTAGGTGTCCAGCTAATTTCTTTCTATTTGTAGTAGAGACAGGGTCTCGCTCTTGCTCAGGCTGGTCTCAAACTCCTGAGTTCAAACGATCCACCTGCCTCGGCCTCCCAGAGTGCTAGGATTACAGGTATGAGCCACCGCACCCGGCCTGGTGTTCTTAATTTAAACTCTGCTTGCAAAATTTCCACAAATGTGCAGTGAATCCAACTAGTCATTTCATTTAAACATGCAAAATGTGTGGTTTCAAGTAATTTGCACCAAATTCAAACAACTAATAACTACATAGCTTTATGATTAAGAGTAAGACAATCTCGAGTTCATAGCTTTGGCATTAATTAGCTTACTGTAAATTACTTAAGTCTCTGAATCTCAGAATTTGCATCTCTAAAATGTGAGTAAAAATTCCTACCCTCCTAGGTTCTTAGAAAGATTATACAAGATAATGTAACTAAAGCTCCTAATATATTATTTGGTAAATAGAAAACACTCAGTATGTAAAAGAAGAATGTCCCACTGCCACGGGATATACTAATGGAAAGAACTTCAAACCTATAAGCAATTATAAAAAATGGTCAAATATTCTTTAGCAACATGTGACATATTAGCTATTAATAATACCTGTAGAGTGTACTTTACTGCTTTGTCACTAATAGTTACCTGCAAGATTGTCAAGCATGAAGTTCAGTAGCTTTCGGGTTCCATCGGGGTCCTGGTATAAGTTGAGAATATCCTGTGATAAAGGATTGCCTAAAGCAGAGACAAAAACAAAACCTGTAAAACTTACAATTGGAAGACAAAACAGAAATATATACTATAAACAAAATACTAATTTTCTAAATTGAATTCTACGGTATTTGTTACATACATTTAAAGAAATTATATGAATTTAAAGAAATACTCTTCTTTGTTAATATAGCATAAAGAAAAACATCTAAGAAGTTATTTCTTTCCAGATTTCTCTGTTTATACTGTATAGCTAAAACTTGGGTTTGTCAAAAACACATATGTACATACATAAACACATATATGTTAATCTTAGTCAATTCTAAAGTAATATCACAACCTGGCACCTTGAAGTAACCCTGTAAGTTTTACCTTTATCTTTGAAGACAATATTCTAACTGAAAGACGAACAGCCCTATGTGAGAAAGAATGAGTCATATCATAAAGAGGTCTTCCTAATTAACATATTTATATTACCTATGAAAAAAATGAAGATATTTCAAATGAGAAGAAAATCAGTTACCAAGATGGGTTCATGAAATGTGAGAGTAAAATAAGAATTTTGTTGTAATACTGACCAGGAATATCGAAGTACTAAGAGTACAGATTTATCAAATATCCAAAAACAAGCTATTATTATTAACCAACTCTATAGTCCCTTAGGAAATAAAGGAAGAATTCATCAAGAATAACATGCAACAGTCCAACATTCAGATTTGAAAAAATACAAACTATAGAACCTCAAAAATGAAAGTTCTAATTATTAAAACAATTAATGAGCAAACAAAATCGTCAATGCAACACACACCCACCAGAATGGCTAAAAAAAATTTTTTTAATAAATGTGTTAGAAAAAATGTGGAGTGCCTGGAACTCTTCTAAATTACTGGTAAAATGTAAAATGGTACAGCTTTGAAGTCTAATCGGCAGTTTCCAACTGACTTTAAAGTGGGAAAAGGAATCTACCTAGGTTGATGGAAATACTCTATATCTTTATTTAGATGCTGGTTATATAGGTGTATACCTATGTCAAAATTAGTAAAGCTGGATACTTAAATATTTAAGTACTTTGCTGTGTGTAATTATAACTCAAAGTACTAAGGGAAAAACTCTTGATGAATGAATTAGGGAGTAGATTACACACAGCTAAAAAGAAAATCAATGAGGGGGAAAAATGTATTCAAAGAAATTACCCAAAATGCATCACTAAGAGTCCCAAAGAAGGAAGACATGAGAAAATAAAAGATGTGAAAGTTAGAATAAGAAAGCTTAATATACATGAAATTGGACATCTGGAAAGAGTGAATAGGACTTAGGTTTCTGATCTAACATGTAAAGAAGGAGCTTGGAAGCAGTCACTCCTGTCCTTACAATAAAGGACAAACTGCTGCTCCAAAGAATATACAGAGAATCACAACTTACTGGGCGTAGAAGCCCACAGCTGAAACTAATATCTACAGAAACACTTTAAACTGTAATTGACAAATTCCTAAAGGCTCAGTGTAGATTAGCATGAGAGTTAAAAACTCCAATGGGGCCCAGTTTTAGGCGCCCCCACACTCTCCTAAATTTTACTTCCATGAGCCCCACCAGCTTCTTACTATGAAGATTAAAGAAAAATCCCTCATGCTTCCAACAGGGGGTGGGAGAAAGTAAGGTTCTCCTTAACAAGTCCAGCCCTCAAGGGAAACTATTTTACCAGATTCTAAGTTTTACCAAAGCCTAACAGACCTGGGGGAAGATAAATACGCCACTCTAACCCCTGACATAGAGTAGAGAAACACCCAACTCAGGCTCACTAACATTGAGACCTAATCATAGGACTCCAGGACTTTTCCTCTCCCCTCCACATGTTACCACTACATCAATAGAGCTCCTGTATAATAAAAGGATTACAGCTAAGAGAACTGCAAGCATCAGATCCTATTTAAGGAGTCTCCAGGAAAAGCTAAAGACAACAGAAGAGTTAAAATCAAGGACACTTGAGGAAATTTTAGCCTCTGACATCACAGCTACAGGAAATAGTTAACACGACTAACTCCTAGCAAGAAAGAAAAATCAGAGAGAGAAGCGAAAAGAGGCAATATTTGAAGAGGAAAAGGCTGCAAATTTTCAAAAGCTAATTTTTCTAAAAAATTAATAAGCTGATATAAGAAGCACATATATACAAATAAGTTTATGAAAGGACTTTATTTAACTAAAATAGATTGTAGTGCAAACTAGAGAATGCCAATGACAAACAGAAGATTTTAGAACCATGTGGAGGGAAGGGACCAATCACATCAAAAGAACATGAGAATGACAAGCTTCAACAACAGAAGGTAGAATACAATGAAATAGTATCTGCAAAGAGTTGCAAGAATTGTATTTGAGACTTCAAACACTCATCTATCAGTTACTGACAGAAAAAGTAGACAAAAAAATTAGTGAAGATGGAGAACAGAACATTGTCAACCAACATGACCTAATATTTACGTAATACTCAACTCAAAATCAGAAAAATATACATTCTTTTCAAGTGTACAGGAACATTCACTGAGAGATCATATTCTGGGCTAGAAAACAAACTGTAACAGATTAAAAGGAAATGAAAACATACAAAGCATGCTGTTTGCACATAACAAAATAAAATTAGAAACTAACAAATATCTAAAAAAATTTCCCAAATATTCTGAAATGAAGCATCACACTTCTAAATAATCCATGACCCAAAAAGGAAGTCACAAGGCAATTATAAATATCTTATATAAAAGATAATTAGGTAAAGCAGTAATTATAAATCAGTCTATGTTGACAGGTGCACAATGCATAAAGATATTTGTGATAATAACAGCATACAAGAGATGAATGGAGTTACAGGCGCAAAGTTTTTTTAATATTCTTGAAATTAAGCTGATATTAAGCCAAATTAGATTCGTGTAAATTAATATGTTAATTGTAATCCCAGGGTAACCACTAAGAAAATAAATCCTAATAATATAGCAAAAGAAATGACAAAAGAATTGCACCAGAACCCTAGAAAATATCCATTTAACACAAGGCATTAATTGAGGAATATAGGAATAAAAAAGACAAAAGACATAGAAAATAGCAAAATGGCAGACAGAAATCCTACCTTATAAGCAATTACCTGAAATGTAAATGAATTAAACTCTCCAATTAAAAAGCCAGGATTAGCATAATAAATAAAAAGCATGATTCACTATATTCTGTATACAAGAGATATACTACAGAGTCAAAGATAGGTTTAAAGTAAAATAGAAAAAAGTATGCCATGCAAATAGTAACCAAGAAAGAGCAGAAGTGGCTATAGTTTAAAAAAAAAAAAAAAAGGGTAAATAATCTCAATGTCCTGTATCTATAAAAGAAATTCAATTAGAAGTTAAAAATGTTTCAATAAAGAAAATTCCAAGCCCATATACTTTTACTGGAAAATTCTACCAATCATTTAAGAAGGCAATAATAGAAATGGTTTGCAAACTCTTCCAGAAAATGGTTGTAGTAGCAACATTTTCCAGAGAAAATATTTGACCAAATTCAAATACTTTTTACATCAGTGACAAAAACTCTCAGCAAATATGAAATAGAAGGGAAAATTATTTGACCTGAAAGGACACCTACCAAAAAAACTACAGTTATTATCAATAGTGAAAGATAGCACTTTCCCTCTAAAATCAAGAACAAGAAATAGATGTGCACTGTTATCACTTCTATTCAAGATTGTACTAGTGGTCCTTGCCAATGTGACAAGGCAAGAAAAAGAAATTAAAGAATATATATTGGAAAGGAAGAAATCAAACAGCCTCTGTTCACAGATGAGGAGTTTATAAAAGCTCCTAGAATAAGTAAATTTACAAACATCAAAAGAGACATGGTCAATATATTTTTTAAAAATCAATTGCATTTTAAGTCTATACAATTAATAACTGAAACTTTAAAAAGCAGTACCATTTACAATAGCATAAAAATATCAAATGAGTAAGTATAAATCTAGCAAAATATCTGCAAGATCTGCATGCTGAAAACTGTGAAACTGTATAAAGAAATAAAGCAAAGAATATCTGAGTAAATGCACAGATATACTAGATTGAAAGACTCAATATTAAGTCTGAAAATTAAGGCATTGATTATTCCCAAACTGATCTAAATATTCAACACAATCAGAATTCCAGCAGGATATCTGGCACAAATCATAAGCCGACTCCAAAATTTATATGGAAATGCAGAACATCTAGAAGTGTCAATGCAACTTTGAAAAATATGAACAAAATTGGAGAACTCAAAATACCTAATACCAAGGTTTAACATAAAGCTATAGTAATCAAACATTTTGGTATTGGCAAAGATCAATGGAAGAGAATAGAATATCTAGCAGTAGACCCACATATATTTGGTCAACTGAATTTTGACAATGTTGCAAGAGAAATTCCATGTAGAAAGGAGAATCTTTTCAACAAATAGTGCTTGAATGACTGAGTATGCATATACAAAAGAATAAACGTTGTGCCATATACAAAAATCAACAAAAAAGGGACCGTTGGCCTAAAAGTAGAACCTAAAACTATAAAATTTCTAGAAGAAAATCTTCATGTACTTGAGTCAGGCAAAGTTTTCTTAGATGTGATGCCAAAGATAAAACTCAGAGAATAAAAGAAGCAATAAATTGAATTTCATCAAAATAAAAAACTAATCTTTGAAAAGCACTGTAAAGAAAACAGAAATGCAAGCCACATAAAATACTTGCAAAACAAATATCTAAAAAAGGGTTACATCTGAATATATAATAAACTCTCGAATTAGAAAAAGGCATCCCAACAATAAAACTAGGCAAAAGATGTGAATAAAAATTCTACCAAGGAAAATACATTGATGCTACTATATCCTATTAGAATGGCAAAAATAAAAAATGTTGATGATATCAAGTGCTAACAAGGATACACAGCAAGTGAAACCTTTATATTTTTAGTGGGAATGCAAATGATACAGCCCCTTTGGCAAACAGTTTGACAATTTCTTTCGACGTT